AAACGAATGAATGTAAAACGTGCGTAATAAAAGAAGTCACATGGGACACGGTCAGGTTACCCTCTTTGGGCAGGAATGTCTAATAATAGTAATAAAATGAAGCGGAGATGTACTTAGATGCCTCACGAGGAATGCTAACGAGATGGTCTCCATTTGCAATTCCGGTATACTTTAGGAAATGTCGGGAATACAATACAAAGCCAAGTCTCGCTGTGCGCGCAAAAGTCACTCCGCAGAAGGCAATCCGGATTCGCGACAAGGCCACGGCGCGGCTAATTGAATTCAATCGAAAATGCTTGCCTAATTGCAGCGTCAAGCTTTCGTAAGCCTCGTCTTCGGAAGTTCGCTGTTCTTCCCCCTCATGGCCCGCTCCCTCTTTCCCGCGTTCGGCTTTCCTCGATTCGCCTTCCATCTTGGAAGTGGGACTGAACTTTCAAGTTTATGGAACTGAATCTTAAGCGGCCGACCCTCCAATTTAAACTTGGGTTGCGATGCTATCGTTTTGCCCTTGAAAGCGAGTTACCTCCGCTGGCGCGAGGACACACAGCCGTGGATCCCCTCGGATCGTACGTCTTCGCGGTGACTCATGAATCATTTCGACGTGTCGACCGCAACGTGTTTCTCTCAGATGTGCACCGAATCCCTTTTACGCATTTACGGTAGTGTCACGGATTTGACATTATTTAGGATTCGTTGCAAAATATTTGACAGATCTCTTGAAGAATTTCGAGTCGACTTTTTTTTAACAGAAAAATCACTATTTGTCATTTGTATAACTTTCAGCGTTGAGTTCTTTGCCCCTGCAGAGATACAATACTTGTCAAACTCGTTTTCTTGTCCATTTATATTTCTTTTTCATTCTTGAAGTGTAAGTGTATATCTTTGTAATCCGTCTTCCTTGGAAATATTTGACATTCATACAGTTTTCACCATTTGTCTCGCAACTACAATAGTGATGCAGTAGCAAATGTATGACACAGCACAACAACGATTTCTCACCGAAAAGTAACCACTCAAACTTTTACATTTTTCTTCCGCTAAATTATTTGTAATCCGAACGATGTCGAATGATTCTATCGAGTTTCATTCATTTTTAATGACTTCTCGCGGTCGCGACGTGGTCGAAAGTGCGTAAAAATAAGTCGCTCGCGAAACGGTCCAGGCAGCCTTCGCTGCTCTATGCGACTTGCCCGACTGATTTTTCGAGTGTACGTCCGACCTGTCAACGGCCTGATGGAGGAGGGAAAGACTCCAAGAAAAACGGACAATCACCGAGTTAGAAATGAATCATCGACCGGCTCGTAACACCACCATCGACGATTAATTCATCGTCAGCCGCTCGTTATTACGGTCGACGGCCGACAGATTGGTTGGCGTGAAGGAAAAAAGCTTTTACACGGCATTTTCGTGCTCGGGATGAACGATCGCTCCGGACCGGACTCGGATCGCGGCGATGAAAACTTGATCGTCGGCAAGAAGGAGAGAGCTCGAGCCCCCACGTGGTATACTCTCACGACAATCCGGAATTTCATAGGCACGCTACTCTTCGCGACAGAAATAACTCGGGGCATCCCGTACATGAACGTAGCCTGACAGCGCGCAGCATGTAAACACCTCGTAGTCAGCCAATTGGTCGGGCCGCTGGGAATAGATACTTGTACTTCAAAAAGTTTCCAGACACATCTCCACAAGGCAAGAAAAGAGTAGACTTTTTAATATTCAGCGTTAAGCATCTTAGCAATCGAGCCACGAGCTTGAAAGTTCGAAGAAGCGAAACATGAATTTCAGTCACAATAGCTTTAATTTAAGCCACTTATTCTCAGTCGCTTGTATGAAATCGCGAATCTTTCTTAAAACATCAATATAAAAAAGTCTGCTTCAAATTGGTTTAAAAGTCTGTTAGGAAAGCTAAAGCGTTGTTATACTATATAATATTATATCGCAGCTGCAAAGTTGTGAAGATTTTCTTCACAGGGATTTGAAACTTTTCGGGTTTAGTGTACCTCTCGAAAGAGTTCTATTCATGATCGTTCGACGAAGTTTTCAAAGAAACTCGCGTTTTTATGCTGCACACGCTGCACGCGCTGCTCTTACGTGTCGCGAAATAAATTTCTTTGCCGTATTCTCGCATTTACTGTCGCGTTTACTGTTTGCGGTCGCGCACAGCAGCTTCGGAAACGGTTTACGGAGTGCGGATTTACGAATGTTGGTCCTACGAATTCACCATGACGCTCGTAGGATGATCATAAGGAGATTTTATCGTTACGACATTGTATCTTCGTTGTGCTTGACACGAAACGTTGCACCGTAGCGCGTCGTTTATGTCCGAACAATCTCAAGCGTGACTACTTAAATGTCTACATCAGTTGTCTGACTCATAATGGCAACAGTTCCTCGCAGAAAGAACGTTTTCTTTTGAGGTCTTCAATTGCTTAAATACTTATTTATTGATATTTATGTATGACAGAGTGATTCAGAATAATTTTTATATTTGAAAATACTTCCTTTCTATAATTTTAACAATACAATTTAAACTTAAATTTGCTAATCTTGCCAAATTTAATATTAATTCGTTATTATAGAAACATTACATTTATTATTTTTGAAGACATAAGTATCAATGCCAAAGAGAAGTATCGAAAAATCTTTTTATTGTCGTTGCGAAAATTCGCTGATATTGCGTTTTGTCTACCTTTCTACCGCGAGATGCTAGTTCTCTGCCTTGCAATCAAAGACTGCCGGGAAGAAAAATGAAAGGATTAAGTGGAGCACGAAACGAACGTCGGCCACATTACGGCGAAACTCGATTTCACGACGAGGGGGAAAAAAGATTCTAATTGTACTCAACGTAGTCGCTGCGGCGGATAGCGCGATAAAAGGGTCGGCAATAAAACGCAGCGAGGCGACTAACGGAGAAGATGTACTTTTACGGGAGACGCTGTTTCTGTTCCGGTTCTCGCGAGCGAAATGTCTCAATGTCCACCTCCACGCAGGACAGTTGATAAATGCACGCGCAATTTGACGCGACCAACTTGGGCCCTTTTCCTTACGGTATCTTTATTCCATGCTTTTATTCACACGATTCGCAACACACTTCTCATGTTCCCTTCCGCGCATTTAAGTTTTACGCCCTGGACCTCACTTCTTCGAGAAAATCGAAGGCAAATGGCAAAACGAGAAAATAATTTGCTCGCGAGAAAGAATATTCGATTTTTATAAATTAAGAGAGTGGTAAATTTATGAGATTATGATACTTTTTTTCGTCATGTATTATTTTGCTACGTGTTTTATTTAAAAGGTTACGATGAAGTGAAGGGGAAAGGGAAATTACTCTCCAGTGACAAATTCCCGAATAAACCGCGTTTGCGATAGGCAGACGGTAATCCCGAACAGAACAAAAGAAAAGCCGCGTCCGCACTCCCAACCAAGCCTCCATTGCGCCGGTAATGTAAACATCTGGATATATATAGCGGCGAGAGAAAACCGGCGAAAAGTTTTAGCGAGTGCCTCTGACAATCCTCAAATGGCTGATGGGATTTGTGTCGAAAAAAATTGTTCTTTAAAAAAGAGAACTCAAAATAATAAAGTAATTAATTGATTTTTGTTTTAATTTGAGATTTTTAATTTGCCTAAAGCTCGTGATATTGACATTTCTCTAATATTTTCAATTTAACTGAACCGATAGCTTAAAATGCTCGTGACATTTTATAGCGCTTTTGCGATCATAATTTCCTACCAGCGAAAAGCTGCGAAATTACCAGCACATTGTACAATAATATCTACTCTTTTCTTTCCACTTTCTCTCTTTCGTCCCATTTAGACACCGTAACTGGCGCAGACATTTCCAATTTTTAAGAATCAGTCTGTAACGTGATTTCATCTCTTGTCCGCGTCGTTATTTTCTCTTTCGTTCGTTCCTGCCGCAGAAATTCTTCATGTCCGCGCGTATCTTCGGGCACGTTTCCGGAACCGAACGAGAGATCGGAGATCGGTTATTTTTCTTTCTCTTTACGCCGAGATAACTCTGAGTTTTCTTGGTTCTGTCCGCTTTATTGCCTCGCCTCGCCTGTCTTTTTCTTGCGCCGTAGCAGCGCGGAGTAGAACGCGCACTCTTCGATTCTAATAGAACATCGTAAAACCGCGACGACGTCGTGAAAACTGTAGCAGACGATGCACCAGGAAACATTCTTCAGCGGGCATTCTTGGTCCCGGAGACCGTCGCTTTTCCAATTTCTTCGAACTCCACATTTCTCGACTTCCACACTTTTTCTATGCTGATTTTTCACTAGAAATGTGCCGGACACGTAAGAAATATCCACGAGGAAAAATAGATGAATGGACGTCGTTGTGAACAGTGCGCGTTCTTGATTGAAATATTCCGGGATATCGGAAAATTGTCATGTGGTTTATCTGATTACATTAACGAGCGTTTATTTCTTCATTTATCATAAATACGTGCTAATTATTGCGATAGTGATTGTTACGAAAGATCTATCCAGTAGTTGCTGATTGCTGTATCAATTACATTAAGATTAGTTTTATTGATTAAATTTCATTTTATTTCATGATATTTTTCTTCTCTCTCTTTTTTCCTCCCTATTTCTAGTCCCTATTTCTCGTCCCAGAAAAAAATACTTATGCTAAAGATAAAGCGATGCCAGTGAAATCAGATGTTAGCAATCTAATATGTCACCACACTATTAAGCTTAACTAAACAAAAATCACAAAAATACACCAATAACCGCAACGTTCTTTTCTCAGTATAGCCATCAGATTAGCAAAAGGCACATTTGGACACTTTTTCAACCAGGGGATCGCGACAGCAACCCATCTAGCTGTCATCATCCTTGCCTTCTTCCCGTTCTTCCTTTTTCGGGTGTAAAAGCTTCTCACGTTCCACCCTTTTTCCCCTAAGCTTCGTTATGTCACGTCAAATCAAGTTTGACCCTCGCTTTTCTTTACATCCATACAGGAAGACAGGAAGTTTCTTTGGCACATACCTTTTTCTTCTTCTTCCTCTTCCACCTTCGCGACTTCTTTTTATTCGCATTCCCCGTCGTGCTCGTCGTCGTCGTCGTCGTCGTCGTGGTGATCGTCGTGGTGATCGTTGCGATCGTCGTGATCGTCGTCGTCGTCGTCGTCGTCGTCGTTGCCGTTGTCTTCGTCGCCGTTATCTTCCTCTCCTCCACAGTCCTCCTCGTTCTTTTCCTTCTCCTCTTCCTCCTCTTCCTCCTTTGATTCCTCTTGTTTTTTTCCGCGGCCACGGCCGTGCGGAATTCGAACCGGGGTTCGATTTGGCGGCACCCGGTTGGAGCTGGTCGGCATTACTGCGTTCGAGTAGACTGCTCGCACCCGAAGTCTACCTCCTTCTCTACTTCTCTTCATCTTTCTCTCTTTCGCCTCACCGGCCCACCGCCTCTCTTCTTTCCCCGTTCTCTCTCACTCTGTTGTCCGCAGTTTTCTCCGCGCCCTCTCTTGCCCTCTTTCTCGCACCTTTCATGTTTTTCCCTTCTCCTCTTTGTCTTTCATTCCCGCTTTCGTAAACGCTCCGTGACCCGTCTCAACTCTCTCTCTTTCTCTTCTCGACGTTTTCCGGCGATGCTGCTCTCCCACCTCGAGAGCTCTCTCTCTCTCTCTCTCTCTCTCTCTCTCTCTCTCTCTCTCTCTC